TCTATTCTATTCTATTCTATTCTATTCTATTCTATTCTATTCTATTCATAATTATGACCATCTCCCATGGTCACATGATCAGGTATTTGGCAACTGGCATGTATTTATTATGGTTACATAGTCCTGGGGTCATGTGATCACCATTGGTTACCTTCCCAGAAGCTTCTGACAAGCCAAGTCAATAGGGGAAGTTAGATTTACTTAACAACTGCAATGATTCATTTAACAACTGCAGCCAAAAAGGTCATAAAGAGGGGCCAAACTCAGTTCAGCAGCTGCCTTGCTTAGCAGTGGAAATTTTGGGTTCAGTTATGGTTGTAAGTTAAGGTCTGCTTGTATCTGATAACAGGTTGAATAAGAACACATCAAATTGCATCTAAAGAAGATGAGGATATTGTTGGCCAGTGGATTAATGAATAAAATTCAATTTGATTTAAATGGGGTCATGGGGTCCCGAAAGAGCTAGTTTATATTTTGATTCTCACTTGTCTCTGGATTTGCAAGTGATGGCTTTTTCATAATGATATCTAATGCTCTATCTGTACATTAGCCCTTCTCTTGCGCTGTCCTCAGGATAAGAAGCAGAGGTGGTATTCATCAGGTTCTGACCAGTTCTGGAGAACCGGTAGCGGAAATTTTGAGTAGTTCAGAGAACCAGCAAATACCCCCTCTGACTGGAGATTTTATAGTCTCCTTCCCCTGCCACGCCCACCAAGCCACACCCACAGAACCAGTAGTAAAAAAATTTGAATCCCACCACTGATAAGAAACATAGTCCCTTCTCAATTTATGCATAATTGCCACTCAATATTTAAGAAACCTATAAAGACACTACTCTTTCTCTAGGCATTTAAACTTTATTAGATTTAACATGAATAGAATAGAGTTGGAAGGGACCTTGAAGGTCTTCTAGTCCATCCCCCTGCTCAAGCAGGAAAACCTATACCATTTCAGATAAGTGACTGTTTAGTGTCCTTAAAAACCTCCAGTATTGGAGCTCTCACAACTTTTGAAGGCAAGCTGTTCCACTGGTTAATTGTCCTCACAGGAAATTTCTCCTTAATTCCAAGTTGCTTCTCTCTTTGATTAGTTTCCAATCATTATTTTTTGTCATCTGGTGTTTTGAAGAAAATTAATTCTTTCTTTCTTTCTTTCTTTCTTTCTTTCTTTCTTTCTTTCTTTC